CGGTGAAACATGAAGACCGTGTTGCGAATGTATGTAAATCGAAATTAATTCAACGAATCTTAAACCGATCAATTTTGTTTAATTACATCGCTATAGCAACAAGATGGCCCGCAGCTTTATACAAAATAGGTCGCCCTGTTGTTCCCCGTCCGCGTTGCGAGATATCATCCCGTAAGTAGAACTAATTTGTACAAAAGGTACCATACAGTTGTTTTTATCCCTATTGAATGTCATCAGCAGTGAGCACTTCAAAAAATCTCCCGGGAGTCTTCAAGATGCGACCTGCCGTTCTGTAGCAACCAATCAGAACCAATCAGCAACCAATCCTTCATTCAAGGAACCCACGCCATATTTTTACGCACCGACCGAAAGCTTCCTGTCTTCTTGGCTTTTCAGTATAGACCGCTTTTACTTGGAGGAAGAAATGTCATTTGTAAATAACAAAATTTTCTCACACAAACATGGACATCCAAGTGGCTCAGAGAAACAATAGCTTCACAAGATGAGGGAAACCTCAATTTGAGAAGTTGTGATTCCCGGCGTCAGTCAACCCCCGATTTTGCTTCTGTAACTTTCACTTACATTATGAACCCCCAGTTATTTTTGCTGCCTGTGGGACTACCAAGTAAAAATGAGCCCAGTAACAAACTTGTAAAGGGCACACAAGAAATATTGTTGTAAACAGTGGGCCTAACAAAGAATTTTAAAGGGCTGTAAAAAGCAAGTTTGTTGACCTGGTACTTGAATCCTTATCCAAGATGGCTAGGTAAGTTGATGTCTCAGCAGACTTTTAATCGACAAGTTGCCAAAAAAAGTGAAAATCTTTACTTCCGTAATTCATTAGTCACATGGCACGTATTCCATGCTTCTCAAAATAACGTACCTTTGTTAATTTTGTATACTTCGCTCCGTTGTCAAGGAGATAAATGCTAACTTTCTTGTGGTTGTTGTACACTGACCACATCAAGGGAGTTATCCCAAACTAAGAAAAGGATGGAGTAAGTAAATAAAAAAGTCAGAATGTAGGACCTAATAATGTGTTCTAAAAGACTGACCGTTGCTTCTGAGGGCTCGCAAAATTTTTTTCATGAATGATAAGCGATTTTTGTTCACTGCTTGTATCACCAATTTTCCTGACAATATGTTGCTTCGAACGCCTTTTTGACCGGTTTGTTTTGTATTATGCTTAGATGGGGAAGCTGGACTAATTATTCATGCAGCTTTAAGAGTTGCTCTAAATTTGATTGATTTTTGCGTCAAAACGAAACCAGCATTCGTGCGAAAGGTGGATTTTTTCAATAAGATATTTGACCTACATGGTATTCCTACACCAAAGTGACAAATTTTATCTGGTTTTCCTAGGTACAACGCAGTTTCGTCCACATCAATGGCAGTAAAATAGAATAAAACATAAGCGTGCCCGTAAGGCCCAGATCACTCGTTCGAACAGGCGACTAACTTCATCGTAGTCAGCATTTCATATGGTACGTATACGCAGTGGGCTATCCTCGTTTAATCCTCGACCTAGCAATTGTTAACTAAGATCGTTACGCCTAATAAATTAGATGTGTTTTGCCCAGAGTTATGCCAGGTGTCGTTTAGATACATTTTCACTTTCACTTCTAGACGTATGTTGAACGATTTTCATTTTACATACCTTTTAGTAATACCAGAATTTGTAGTATCAGATAGTTTTTTTACACACTATATGCTCAATGAAATTTCTACACATTACACATGACTACTCGAAATTTCTAGCCAGTGTACACCGAATAAGCCGCTTCAATGAAAATTATCTCCTGTGTATGGCTTTAAAATTCTATTTGTATTCAACAGCTGATCATGTGATTTTGAGGATCTGTCTTTTATATATTTAGGAATTATTTTCTCGTCAACAGAGTAGTGCTATCATCTCGCGCGGATTTATATATTGTGGTGATATGTGAATTTCAAGCTTTGGACGATGTGAAACAAAACAATCAACCAGGAGCAACCAGTGACAAGCTAAACCTTTCTGAACAATTTTTAAGAGATGATTTCACCTGACCAGCCAGCCTCGAAAAAAAGACTGATGTGTTTGCCCGTAAGTCACACAGTGATCCTCGATATAAAAGATGTGGATAGCTAAAACTCGGACCTATGCTGAGCTGACGGTCATACAGGGCTCCTTACGTTGGGTAGGAATATTTCTTGTTATATTTGGAGCACTTTTGTCGGATATAGAGCCGGGTTGGAAGCATTGTAGCATACAGGTTTATTGGCTATTTATTCACATAAAGTTGTTTGGTGACTCAATTGATAGAAATTCCGCTTGGTGTTGGAAAAATTGGATGGCGCAAAAGTAAATCAAGCCTCCTCTAAACACACCTATCTCATAGGACAATGAACTTAGACATTCCTTTGAAGTAAAAAAAATATGCCTACTTCCTAAGTGGTAAAATTTGATAATATTTGTTGAAAGATGTGTAACCTCTTACTTATCAGCTTCAGATGAAAGAGCATAACTTCTAGAGCAATATGAATAACTTCAAGGGAAGGGATTCCGAATGCGCTGCGGCTACGTATAGTTAAGTGGTTGGCCTTTTTCATGTAAAATACCAGCGAAATGGGGTTTGCAGTCCTTCCTTCTTGAGTAAGAAGCACATAGGGCAACGATGTTAGAGTAGATAACTTGACAGGATACAAAACTACACACGCAGATGAACCTGAATAGCCTGAATGCGGTTGGAGCGTGCCCGGGTGTCTGTCATTAGTTAGGGCTTTTGTTAGACAGCTGTCCCAGGCACAACAAAAACAAGAAGATAGATGCTTGCCGAGTCGAGTGAGGATACGTGAACTGTGTATTAATAAAATATCATTGACCTGTTGGGTCGACATCTTGCCGACATTTACTCACAAAACAACGTATTTACGCCCACATCGGTAAAGGGCATGTGCACATGCCGGCAAATCAGGGATGCTGGAGTGCCTACTTTCGGCCTCAGCAAGAAAGTGCAATTATCATGGTTAGCGGTGAATGGGTTTGCTTATACTGATACCTACATGACTCTGCATAGTGCTGCACACAGTGAGCACTGAGATTTTTACTTTTTCTCGTTTGAACTTATTCTCACTCCTCCTCCAGCCGCATTAAATGCATGCTGAAAATCCCAACACTGTCTAGCTGTTTTTGTGTAGACCTCACAAAAACTCAAAAAAGTGGAACTCTCAACCGGTCAGCCACAAGACTTCAATCAGCAGTTTGATTAGCTCGCAATTAGAAAGGAGGCTGAGGAGTCGTATGTTTGGGACTCACTGGAGATTCACTAGATGCGCAGTGTTTACGACTCCAAATAAGTACGTTAATAGCTGCACATCGCTTCTGCTGCAGTGCTGCACATACCTCCTCCTCATCCTCCTCCACCAACAATTTACTCCGATTTGAAGTCAGTGCCCAATGAACACGACCCAGTCATACTACCGCAATGGCAGGCCTTCCCAAGTTATCTGTATTCGTATATCTGTTTTCGTTTTGAAAATGTAAAGCTGCCATTTTATTGAAAATCGCAGTCAAATGTAATCTTGTTAATTATATAATTAAATGTAATCTTCGGTGGATCCAGCATTTCATTTGAATAATTCAGCAGAACCCTAATTCAGAACCCTATTATTTAAAAGGCGTAAACCTGGATAGTTTTAATTGTATTTTTTGTTAATTATTAATTAAATGTAATCTTCGGTGGATCCAGCATTTCATTTGAATAATTCAGCAGAACCCTAATTCAGAACCCTATTATTTAAAAGGCGTAAACCTGGATAGTTTTAATTGTATTTTTGATTGCCCAAAGAAACATAAAACCAGTAAAAGAACCCACCTTATCCATGACATCGATCGTGGCACGATATTGTATCAACAATTTGACAGTTTCTAGGTTCCCACTGCTGGCGGCAAAGTGTAGTGGTGTCCGATTAAAGTTGTCCTGAATATTTACATTGACTTTATGATCTTGTAGTGGAATCTTAAGCATATCTGTTCGATTCTGCCTGGCCCATTCAAATACTTGAACTTCTAGTTGGCTGACTGTGAGCAAAGGAAAATTGGAAATCGTCGAATAGACTTGTAATATGACGTATACACAGTTAGACATTTGAAAGAAAAAATCAATCAGAAACTAAATTGCTGGCTTCCTTAGTCAAATTAAAGTTTGCATGATCAGACTAAGCCTCTTTTTTTACGTTTAAACATACTTTCAAATCGACGAGTTACTATCCTTTGTGCAGTAGCCTAAGAGCATGCAAACAGCTCCAGTTTGATGTTCACTTCTATAAAATTTGATGTATGTGCGGACGTTTCTGTCATAGAGATTAGCCTTCATTTTTAGCGCATCGTTTTCAATGACGGCATGCGTATGTCATCCGTTCAAACAAGTTTAACATAATTAGAAACGTGCCAGATCACCGGCGGTAAACAAGGCAGTTTACGGTGATATGGTTGGATCTCCGGTTATTCAAATCTATCAACCGCCAGGTTAAGGCTCATAAAGGCTCATGACTGTTGTCAGTTTTGTGACTCTTGTATGTGTTTGTATTTCCTGATAGTAAATGCTCCAAATGCATATAAGTAAGTTGACCCCACCGTTCAATACGGTGTGCTGACTGTGCTATTTATAGAACAGTCTTATTAAGAATAGTGGATCGCTTTCTGTGGAAGATAGGTCTATATATTGAGTTGCTTTCACAGTTCCATATGTTTCGTTTTTGTGTGTGCCCCAACACCTTTGTCGCCCCTCTGCAAAATGACCTTGCCGATTAAGAAGGCCTATTGTCTAGACAAATGAACCCTGAAGCCTAGTTAGTGGACATCTTACTTCCATTTTCACGCCTGTACATCACCTTCTAGTACCTCATTTTCCACCTTTCATAATTTCACTCATATATGCTAAAGGAGATGACTTATTAACGCCCCTCCAGAGCTCTGTCAGCCGCAAAGACTTGCAGTCAATTTGAAAGAGCCGTAAAACGCGCACATATCCGTTCTTTTAGCCTTTCATCCGTTTACTCTGTCAAAAATGAAATTTAGACGTCATTCGTACTTGCTCTTTTGACTATTTATTCTTCAATTATTTATCGTTAACCTGCCATGTGATAAAACATGACCATGTCGTGTCACACATGGTTTGTCCAAAACTTATCCAACTATTTGAACCAGATAAGCACAATGAAAAACAGTGTATGAACTATTAAGACACAAAATCACAGAGGCACCCTTGAAAAATTTGAATGGTATGGCCCCTCAGAAAGGAATGGAAGACGTTTTAATTGGTGAATATTATAAACCTTCGTGTTCACCAAATTAGAGCATGGAGCTCTGAAAGTTATTCCTGAAAATTACCGCATAGTGTCTTATTTTTTACTTTTGTGAACAAGCTTGGCTGATGGAAATGGTGTTGCTTTCAGGCCACCATATCTCTGTGAGTATAAGCTGCCGTCTGTACCACCGGTTCACGGACCACAAAAGTTTTTTTGGTATCGACGAGGCTGCACTGTACGCCGTCCTTCTTGTCCAGAGAGGTTTATTTGCTTCAATTCATCCTATGATATTCTTTGTTTGCTAATGTGGCCATAAGTTTAGCCTTGCGAAGTAGCTTTCCTCCTTTTGAGGATAGGCAGCTCCAGTGTTAGCTTGCTTAAGGCATGCGGAAGTCTAAGGGCCCCTTAAGTTCAACACACGAATGAAGTCCACTAAACACAGTGGGCAGTCGTTGAACCCGGTTGCATTTGTTTGAATTGTGATGCTGTGATTAGGAACGTGACAGATTGTGGCTTAAGGCTGATGAAAAAATATAGCCTTCGAGACAATTGGTTATTGAAAATTCACGTTTCAACACTTGCAATAAAATTTATTTGACGAAAAGTCCAGCACACATTGACGGATGACTTTATGGACTGTGACCTGCACGAAATCGCATTCAGTGTATTATCGTTTTTTATTTCACTATTACTTTGGCAAGTGAGACTTTTGTACCCGGTGAAACTATTCAAAAGGCTATTACAGCAAGTGAGTTATCGTCGAGCTAAAAAACGGCATCTTGTTTTGTTTTTCAAGCACAGTTTAACCGATTCTGATAAGTGTGTAAGAGAAAAACGCCTTCCTCACAGTTTGGCCTGAAAATGTGAGGTTACCATAAGCCAAATAAGAATTCTATGCTAAAATGCTTTGCAAATCTGCTGGATAAACTCACGATTCAACGGTGCGACAGTTGTTACCAGATCACAATCATTCGACTGATTCTTTGGCATCTAGATATTTGAAAAATAAGTATGAATGTTTACTCATCTGGAAAGGTTGTTTTAACATTTTGGAACAGGCCCAGAATTATGTAAGTTGTTTATGCCATAACCAAAACTGTTGTTAGAGAAAGCTTGCAAATAGCTCCCAAACATTCATATACCATTTTAGTTTATGAAGCATCCGACAGGTTCAAACCTCAAAAATTTGAAATTACTTTGCCCATAGAACTAATGCCTGCATAATATGCAGTTTAAGAATATGTGCAGCTCAGTAAATTCTTCACAGCCTAGAAAGCGTGTAATTTAATCGTAAAGGACTGATTTCATGATTTTACGGTATTTTAGTTGATCGTTATCCGATGTAATGTTTCAGGCAGAAACATAGACGTCCGTTGTTTTTGAATACTCTGTGTTGTACCATTTTTCTCGGTATACAAATACGTAATGTTCGAATGAATTATGCTTTCAAATGCAGCCCGGTTCAACTAACACTGGAAGCGAGAAGCTTGAAAGCCAGTTATTAATCTAGGTGAACAGACAAACTGCTAACTGTTCCAAAGTTTAGAAAGAATGTCTTTTTTATCGGGAAGTCAACTGGTCAACAGTCAAACCTGGGGTCACTTATGGGTAGGTTTTATGAACCATTCTGCCCAAGACAACATATTTCTCAGACTGCGTGGGATGAAACAGTATGAGAGTAACTAAGGAGTTGTGTTTCAAACACACGGTTCGTGTACAACAATAAAAGTTGAAAAATAGATCAAAAGCTGATGCTAAATACATTATCAAAACAGACTGGAAATGCAGCTCAGGTCAAATGAATCGTGAGAAAGGTGCGCAATAAGTGAGCCGGATATGGTGCAATGAAAATTCAGTAACGAAAATGCATTAAGCTGGAAAAAAACTGCAGAAGTAAAAATCAAGTGGTAACTTTACTCGAAGCTGGCCAAACTGTAGCCCCTATAAAGATCAAATTAGACAATCATTAGCTCACCGTGAAGTAGTTGGAATGCATTGAATTCGATTGATTGAGTTTAGAATCAAAACATGAAACGGTGGCGACAGTCAGAGAAGAATTAAAATAATAAAAATATGGAAAAATTACTTGCACAAGGCAACTATCACATGTCCGTAAAGCTTCTACGAGATAACCAGAGCTGTCCTACAAACGTTTTTCTATTTGTTCATTTCGTTATCATTTGTCAACCGGAAGACGCGGAAGCAGAAAATTGTATGGTTGACTATGGGGTGCACGGACGATGTCTCCTCGACTGGGGACGAATCGTTTGCAAGCCAATTGCAAACCTCGGCGAACAGATCAACTGCCTTCCGATTAGCCACCAGTAAACGCACCCGAGCTACCTATATTTCGACAAACAATTGCTTCCATTTCCTTGGACGGTTCATGTGAGTTTTTCTTAAAAATATTGATCAGACATAGATTCGTGACCATTTTAAAGATACATTCTCCAACCAAGCCGCGCATTTACGATGCCAGTATACGTTCCACAAAAATTCTTTGGTAGCTGGCTTGGCTGCACATATTCTTTATATAATAAAAACCAACCATTGCTGTTTAAGACAAACAGAAAATCCTTGCTTTTATGAAGCATGCACAAAAGAGATTTACCTGAATTCCGTGGCCATTTTCCCAAACCGACTCTCTTGACAAACACTCCTCCCGTAAAGAGGCAGAAGAACTTTCTCAAATTGTGCCACTAATTAGGCCTTAAATATTTCTGTAGCAGCATAATACCTAAAATTTCCGTGTATTAATTTACAGTTCCCTTTTCTGGACCCAGGAATTCATATGGTCGCAAATGAGCAAAGATGGGCAAAGATGCTACGACTACCAGTTGACCAATCATTGAACAAGTTTTACTGAGCACGAAAACAAATACATACATACATACATACATACATACATACATACATACATACATACATACATACATACATACATACATACATACATACATACATACATACATACATACATACATAACATACAACATACAAACATACATACATACATACATACATACAAACATACATACATACATACATACATACAAACATACATACATACATACATACATACAAACATACATACATACATACATACATACAAACATACATACATACATACATACATACAAACATACATACATACATACATACATACAAACATACATACATACATACATACATACAAACATACATACATACATACATACATACAAACATACATACATACATACATACATACAAACATACATACATACATACATACATACGTGCACACATACATACGAACATGCGAGCATATATACATTTGTGCGTGCGTACCTAAGAGCCGGCCTGCGTGATAGCAGGAAATGAAAGCATATCAAACAGCGATATGCAAGCATGGCATGTCAGATGCTTCCTTGCACTGTCGCAGCTACAGGTCAGGATCAGTTCCTACGGATTTGAATGAGTCAGTAATTGTAATTATTCCAGATAATGTATCGAACCGACTGCTAGAGATAATTCTTGACAAATGCAGACCAATCCCGTTATAACGACACAACCCGTTTTGAAAGAAATGTCGATGACAAAAAGTGACAGTGTTACGAATTCAATTCCATACTGAGCTTCTTAAAGCGCCGACTAACTGTCACCTTTGAAATTCACCACGCCAAAACCTCAATAAATGTTTCACTGACTAGCGTTTAGCACAGAAACTCCATATTCTTTGTTCCAGAAAATCCATTTACCCGATGGTTATATAATGAAACGTTTGCTTGGTAAAGAAGCCCATCAGGTATCCTGCCGGATATATTTTTCTGTGACAGTGCTTGCAACAAGGCTCCCAACGCGATTTCTTGGAATCGAGAAGAAACTCAGCATCTTGCATACTCTGAAATGATAAATTTAATAGTACTCAGACTCCCTCGGTTGTTAAAGGTATTTGAATATGCCATCGTCTGGCATCCAGCCTGGTGAAATTGTACGTTAATTCCCTTTTTGAGAAAGCGATTCCTGCACGCATAACGCTTGCTCGTGTCTATTGCTATAGTTGGTCGGTGCAGTCTTTGGAAGATGCGATCGGCGCAAACTTGCACCCAGGTTTTCCCCGATTATTGCGCCTATACGTATTTCTGACGGCATTGCAAATTTATCACTTAAAACCGAAGTAGCTAACGGCACACTGAGGTCAATATTCATGTTCTCAAGTACCACAAAGCAAGCTCGCAAAGCAACAGTTTTAAGAGAGGTCATTATTGGCGGGATAAGTTTTATCAGGACAGATGCAAATAAATATAAATAATTGCTTGAATATTCCTCTGGTATGAAAAATAACACAGTGACGAACATTAATGTTTTCGGGATCTCGTCATTAGGTCAGTACACATCTAATGGTTAAAATAAGAGCGAAAAATGAAATACGTTGGTTAGTGAAATGCACAACGTGGAGACACGAACGACTGGTTGTCTGCGCCCCTCCCCCTCATGTCACATCTAGTTGGATGCTGTGAGACAGTGAAGAGGGCTGTTGAGTGACTTGGCCGGTTGATTCGTGTCACACTACCAAGGCAGATTCAGCGTTCGTACGAAACGTTTTTGACAGCACAGTATCGGGTTTCTCAGGCTTATAGCGACTGCCTCAGCCGTTGTCAAACAGCGTCGTTGAATAGATATTGGCAGTCTATTTGGCACGCTGTATATGATTTGAAATGACTCATTTGGCATGACTACGTGCCCGGTGTCAATTAGGTGGGATGCGATTGAGCCCCTAGCTGAACTGTTGAGGTTAGTGGTATTCAGTGAAGAGAGGTGCTCGCGTATTCTCTTAGAGATTTGCCGTGTCGTCCGCCGAACAACAGCAGGAGAAAGAATACACCACCATATTCTGGGTGAGGACTGGCATCTTGTATTTGAAGTGTAAGTTGAGCAAAGAGTTTTTTGTGAACTAAGCCCGCAGGTTTACAGCTGGAAACGTGCGTTGTATGGATTGAAACAAGCGGCGATTGACTATGTCCGCCAACAGATCGCCTTTATACGGTAGACTCAAGTATACTGGCTTCTTTCCAACGGTCGTGATAGGCGGTTGGATAGGGCAGTCGGACATATTCTCGGGTATAAACCTCTCCGGGTAACCATTGGCCCGTAGCACGTTAGCACTGTGCCGCAGTTCGGAGTCCAGTGTATCAACAGAGCAAATAGGTCTTGTTCGGTTTGTTGAAGTTTGAATCTGGGTTCGTTTCCGCCCCAGTGGCACAAAACTCAGGAAGTTCGTGTACTGTCCTGTCCACGTGGGCTTTCTGTAGACAGACCTATGAATGGAACCCGTGGAATGTCTGACTAACTTAACGTCCAAGAAATGGAAAGCGCTTTCACTTTCGGTTTCAAAAGTGAATTGAATACAGGGATGTGCTTGGTTGAAGTTGGTCAGGAGAGCATCCATTTCGGAGCGGTTTGGTACTACCATAAAAATATCACCTAAGTACCTTCGATAAAAGTGCATGCGTCTAATCTCGCCATTCAATCCATCAAGCTCCGTTTGCTCATAAAAATGTCACTCAACAAGGGGTCAAGAGGAGAACCCATGGCAACTCCATCGATTTGTCGGTAGAGTGTAGAGTTAAATTGTAATTGAATGTTGAAAGTACAGCAAAGGAGTAGTTTCTTTAAGGCGTTGGTTGGGATTGGGAGTGTCAAATCTGATGAGTCAATAAGTATGGTGTATATCCATTTGATGTTTAATGTTTTCCTGCCACGCGAACGTTTTTGTCATGTGTTTGAAATTTTCTCTCAGATATGGATAGCGGTATTCCATTTGACAACATTTCCTTTCGTTTCTTTCGTTGTACCATTCGTCTTTGAAGTCTCGGCTCTTGTGCAGCTTCATTCGCGCAATAATTTGAATGGCTGGTCAGTGGACTGGTCAGAAATAGTCAATGAACCAGACGCTGTCGAGTAGTAGGAAGGATTTCACATAGTAAAGTAAAGACCAGAAGTAAATTTAGTCAACAAGCAAACCATGTTGCCTATTCAACATCTAGGTCTCGATAGCGATCGCTAGTGAACACAACAAAACAGCTCCATAAAAAAACAATCCAGGTATCTATGCATAAGGGATGACTGCTCCAGACACACTGAAAGCCTTATAGGCCTTTGCAGCTGTTGCGTTTACTTCACCGTCGCGTGTCAGGTCTATGGATAATTTGTTGCCAGGATCGTATGAATTCACGCAGCGTGAAAGGTTGCCTCTCAGTATAGGCAAATGAAAAAAAATGCATTAGGAATCTTTATACTTAGGCCAAATCTAGAAGGCCTTGGATGTGAGTTATTGTTAGCCCCTAAACTCCGCTTCAGAGTGCTAAAATGGAACGAAGTCGTCTGCAATCGGCAGCTCATTATATTTGGGCTCGTGTAACAGCGTTTGCCTGGGAAATGCTTTAAAATGAGCAGGCAGACAAACAACTGGTACTGAAATGGCATACTAATGACAGAAGATCTCTGAGCAAATGGTTGATGAATAGAGGTAAGAGAAAGATGGAGCAACGGCATATCTCCGCCGACCACGAATTAGTTGAATTTGGTTCCGCAGATTAGCACCCGGGTGCGTATCTCAGCGCGGAGGAATCTGAAGAGGTCATAAATTTGTCCGGACAGCCGAGAATTCACAATAAGACCAACTGGGAACCTCTAATGATTGGGACAATGGCTCCCTCAACATTTCAATGAATGGCTAATTCCTCTAACGGAGTTCCTCATGGATCCACCTTGAAATATAAATCAAGTCAGTCATGATTCCATAGCTCTCCTTAGGGATACCACCGACTAGTCTGTTCAGCACATGAGTCGTCCTCTTTCTATTGTCTCATTAGACGGCAGTTTCCAGATTTATAAATATTCCCTTGATTCCTACAGAACAGTTATTGCTGCGTCATTGAAGCCTCGCAGATAGCCCTCTAACTGCTAAATAATGTATGTCAAATGCTGATCCTACCGACTGGAAATCACCACAAAACTCCAAGGAATTTTGGATCAGCGACCGTTCGGCTAGCAGTTTGAACACTTGACCATTCAGCTACGGGCAGCTGGTAAGCATCGCGATTAGCACTAAACATAAAGAAGACATAGCGCCACTCATCCTCCAGTAACGGGAGCCACATCATGCGGTAACACGGGATGACTGGCTCCTCGAGCTGCTAGTTCTTAGACGGGAGTCTCACCTAACAATAATTTTGTGGGATGCGCACGGTTATGATCCTAAATAAGGATGATAATCCAAAACACTGCTTTTTTAATTTGTCTTCAGTCCGCTGGAGCGATTGGCTGGACTTTCAGTCCAGATATTTCTTTCATTTCGATAAAAAACTACTGGCGCTAACGGAATTCTGTTTGCTGAAAATTTCTCTGTCCAATTCTTGAATGGGTAAGCAATCTACGCCCCAGATGGACCCATGCCTCCATTGCTTATACTTCAAATGCTGCACCCATATACAGCATACTTCAACCATCGTCGTTCATTGATCCGGTCTTGAATTTGTTTGTGTTCTCAAATTCTTGACGGTCCAAGCACTGGAACCTCACAGAAGAAGAAAGGAATTGGCTTGGAAGTGCAAATCTGACCAGCTAATCATAGAATTTGTTCTTGTTCTAATCTGTGTGACATTGTGGGTGTATGGGTGTTGATAAATATTGGAAGACTTACTTGTGACAATCGAACCCAGAAGAAAATCATTCTTAGTTTAATGCAGTCTGGTTGAGTCAAAATTTTTGCATTCTCGTGAACCGTGCGTGTAAAACGGATACAACATTCGTGTCGGATTTCTTTAACGTTCAAGAGAAGATATTGCCAGATCCGGCCTCTCTTAGCTCTACTTGATCAGCCTTCCCTGCCCCAGTGTGCTTATCGGAGACTGTCCTGTAGCAATCGTCTCGTTGGCAACAACAGAAATGCGCTCCTCAGGTCTGTCCCCTACATTCTTCTCTGTAAATGTCCTCAAACCACAGGGCCTCAAGTTGTTGAAAGCATCTCTTCGTTCTCTGTATAGTCCGCATCATGTTCAGGGGGGAGGATATTTTTGACCAAGCAGGATAAAAAAGGAGATTGTTCTAGGTACCAAACGTGGGTTCTTCAAATTCACTATCTGAACCTAAAGATAGCAATGGACTGACCTCTCCCAATGATCCCATGAGGAAAAAAATTAAAGTTGCACTTCTAATGCTACTGCGTACTGTGGATGCCTTTCGAGCAGAACCTAGACAATTTTTGGAATACTTTCAGAGTTCCTGGTAATGCGTTGGTAGTAAAGGTATCCTATTAGGTGACCGGAATGGGCAATTTTTAGGGCCTACTTCTCATAGCCCGCCGTTATCAAGAGAAAGACAGCACAAGTGATACCAATGATAAGACGTTTGTGGCTCAAGTTCTCAAACCACAATAGCGCCAAACAGTACAAATTTGTCCTAGCGTCGCTTCGCATTTCCATTTTTCTTAGCGGAAGTACTCGCTTCTTTTTCTAAGTTGCTTTCCAATCGGTTTTCTTTAACGATTATTAAACTGCGATTCATCCAAGGTGGCACGCAGAATTGGCACAGAAATGAATCTCAGTCACCAAGCTAAGGTGGCCTCCTTAGCTTGGGTCAAATTAGATTCCTTGCCTGCTTCAGTACAGGGGCTGCTTTTTTTCAAAACTTATTTAGCGAAAACAAAATCTTTTCATTTGTTCAAAAAAGTAAAATCTAACCCATCAGGGACTTCATTTTTCTAGCAAATATTTGCAAGTATCTTTGACAGAAGTTTCTCGTCAAGCAGCAAACCATTTGTGAACTCAAAAAAGGATGGGTTAATACACAGGGCGTCAAGCTGTTTGTAGGAAGTTGAGCGTAAATTTCTCTGCGTGTCTTATTCCGGCATACTCTGGTATCGACCAGGACATGACCATATTGCATCACTGTCCTGTAGTTAACTGACGCTACGCAAATGAATCATCAAATTTTTGTGCCACTCCGGAACAGAGTGAATAGCAACCTAAAATCACACCAAATTGGCAAAAGCTCAAGCAAGTATTCCTCGGCGTTGTAATACTCAAGTAACTATGGCTACTAAGTCTGTTAACTTTCTAGTTTACCTCATTTTCTGACAAATAATACCTTCGCAAACTTTTCGGGATAGGCAGTTTGACTCACCAGGTCAGGCTTGGACATAGTTGTGGAATGAACTCACTGGATATTCATCAAAAACGATACCAATATTCCTGTCACACTGGAATCACTAATCCAACTTTGCTAGATGATTCATCGCCACCTCGCGCCTGATACATCTATGAGACAGTGACACACAATTCGTAAAGTAATGCTAGCTTAAGAACACCCATACAACGAACGCACCAATAACAACCTGGAGCGAGGCCATTCTATTTGTGTCGATCTGGGTTTCTTCTATGTCTCTGTGCAATCGGTATGATTCTTCAGGTGCTGACGGTAAAAATCTTACGTGCCTTTTGCAAAGACAGTCAACAACAAAAACAACTACCAATCACGTGGTTTTTAATGCTGTTCTCAGAGGAGGAGGCTAACGTCAATGTGACCATCTACTTTCTTGATGTTGCAGAGCTAGGCTTTAGAATCGATTATTAAACGATCGATGATTCCAAACTTTCTACAATATTAGAACAAAGCCTGGTCAACCACTGCAGCTGGCTAACTCTACCAGTAAGGAACCACAAACTGTGCTTTTGGTGAATTCATGTTGAGAATTTATTTGCATGAGAACCCTTTGATTGTTCAGCTCACTAAATAACTGTGGTGTATTTAGCCATGGTTTGCGGTCTTAATTTCTGTGACAGTAATAAGCCAGCAAATGGTGTCCTTATCCGCCAAAGATGTGACGCCTCACAATGAATATGGCTTCTATTGAGACCCCATAAAGTTTCGCTGAATTTTTGGTTTCTTGTGAAACATTTCCTATCTTGGATCATGATCCGGACTGCTGTGTAAGCATTGCGTATAATTTTTTTCAGAGACTATCAAGCTAACTTCAATTCCTCTTACCTAATCTGCATGTGTGCGTTCTGTTTGTCCCTGGGGTCGTCCTGATGTGAGCCGTTTCTGATTTACTTTGTCGGGTATGCTCACCTGTACGCGACAGGGATGAAATATATACAGTAGTACCCTTCGACATGCTAATAGATAGCACGCGTCTTCCGTTCCAAACTACAATTTCTAGGTTTCATGTTGTGCCCAAAACCGATTCGTTTGGAAGTTACTTGTGGCTTTATGTCCAAGTGGTTGACCAGAATGAATCAAATTTTGCCTTAGAATTAGCTGCGTTTAATCAGAAACATCCATGTGTTGCAACCATAAAAAATTCCTGCCTGCTTTGTCTGCTATCGAAATGGGCCTCTCTTCCAGCGAACATCTCTAAAGCAATTGCTAGTTACTGGGGTCATATTGCAAACAAAATGTACCTAAAACCTACCGATCTTACATTCAGAAACTTGTAAATCTGGTAATTGATCAGGTGGCTGTTGATCAAAGAGCAGCTTTGCGCTGTAACCTGGATTCTGATTGGCCCGTTCTTGATCTGTATTGCGTCGTGGTCGGCTTATCTGTTGGTTTGTGGGGTTCGTTCTATTTTTAGTAGCCTGCTGTTCTATTGATTTCTTCTTTGAGTCCTTGTCCGGCCTCGGGTTCTGTGGTTCTGGATTTCCTTTGTCCTCAGAGGCTCGTAGGCAGGATCAATCTCAATGTGCCTGTTTATTGCTCCACCAGTGGAGTACCACGCCTCCATGAACTCGCGTTCTTTCTTTGTTCTTGCTTGGCCCAGTATTCTGACGTTATTCCAATCGAAATGGTGTCCTTCCCCATCTTCGTGTGCAGAGATGAGAGAGAGTTGGTCATGTCTCTTGGTGGCGAGCTTATGTTCGGTGATTCTGGTTGACAGTTTCCTCCCTGTTTGTCCCACGTAGTGTTTTTCACAATCATTGCATTGAATTTTGTAGATTACATTTGTCTTTTCCATTGCATTAAGTGTCCCCTTTGGTTTTGATAGTACTCTTCGCAGCGTCTCAGTCGGTCTGTGGGCCACTTTTATGGCATGCTGTTGTAATATCCTGGCGGTCATCTCCGAAATGTTTTTGATATATGGTAATGTGATTGTTTTGTTTGTGTTTCTGGTTGTCGCGTTGGTTGAATTGCCTTTTCTCAGAGATCTCCAGACGAAATTCCTTGGGTAACCGTTCCTTTGAAACATTCTGTATAGGCGTTTCTCTTCTTTTACTTTAGATTCTACTGTGTTGCAGTGTGTTTCAATTCGCTTGAATAGTGTCCGGATGCAGCTCTCTTTGTGGCAGTTTGGGTGGTTGCTGTGGTAGCTCAGAATTTGATCCGTGTGCGTAGCTTTTCTGTAGACTTCCGTTTGCATTTGTCCGTTCGGCAACCTTGTGACGAGGGCATCTAAAACCGCCAGTTTGTTGTTGTTTTCTTCTTCCATCGTGAACTTGATGTCATCGGAGACACTGTTTATCAATTGGATTGCTCGTTGTAGTTCTCTCTTCTTGATGATGACAAAAGTGTCATCTACATAACGTACCCAAAGCTTCGGGTTGATGTCCGGCAACACGGTCCTCTCCAGTTTTTGCATTGCGATCTCGGCGATGAACCCTGAAATTGGTGAACCCATTGGTGCTCCTTTCAATTGTTCGTAGTATTCACCGTTGAATTCGAAGTACGTGGTCAAACAGAGGCTGAGCAATTCACATATGTCTTCCTTCCTTAGAGGTCCACTGGGAGGTCCATGACTGTCCAGTAGTTCAGCGACTGTTGTCTTTGCCGAGTGAAGGTCCACTGATGTGAACAGTGAGCTGACATCAAATGAGACCATTGTTTCGTCCTCTTCTATTGTCACATTCTTTAGTTTATCCAAGAACTGTTGTGCGTTTTTGATTGAGTGTTGCGATTCATTGATGAGATACTTGACCTTTCTCCATAGTTCCTTTGCAAGGTTGTAGGTTGGTGTGCCTGGGAGTGACACAATTGGCCTTAGTGGTGTGGTCTCCTTGTGTACTTTCGGGAGTCCGTAGAAGCGTGGGGTATTGGATTCTCTGGCTCTCATTCGCCAATATTCTTCGGTTGTGATCTTTTGGAGGTCCTTCAGTCGCTTCAGGCTCTTGTTGATTTTGTTCGCAAGTTTTTTAGTTTGATCATCCTCCAGACGGCGATACGTGGTAGTGTCGTTGAGCAGAGCTTTTGCTTTGTCTACGTAGTCCGATTTGTCCATGATAACGGTCATCCGTCCTTTGTCCGCAGGTAGAATGATGATGGTTTCATCTTTCTTCAAATTTTCTAATGCTTCCCTTTCCTTGTTTGAGAGAAGGTTGAGAGTTTTGTTTCGTGTGATGGCCGGTACCACAGTTTGACGGAGTTGTTGTTGAGCATTCTCATCCAGTTCGGCGGATTTCATAGCTGCCTCTAGGCTGGCCAAGAACTCTAGATTGGTGGCATCTTTGAAATTGAAGTTTAGTCCTTTAACAAGAACATCCTGTTCTTGAGCAGTCAGTCGTTTGCTAGAGAGGTTCTTGATCCACGTCTCGTTGTTGGTGGTGATGGTACCATTTTTGTTGTTTCTGATCAGTCTTGAAAACTTGGTTTCTAGAATAATTCGCTTCTTTTCCGCAGCGGACATAACTCTTCGTTCGATGGCTATACTGAGTTCTTGTAGTAGAGCTGGTCCTATCGTTCTCAAACACGTGTCCCTTTCTTCTGTGGCGATCCGCGCATACTTCCTAATGCGGTTATGTGCATCCGTTATCATGAGTCTAACCATCCGTCTACCGTTGCTTCTTGCTAGCGCCCAGGCCTGGGGGTGATTGATCGGAGGTCTATAGGTTACGCTACGTGGTAGAATGTGACTTCGCAAGCACTCGTGGAGAAAACGTAGCTGTTTTCGCGTGGAGGCTTGTCTGCAGGCGAAAGTCTCCCATCGACGAGCCGACCACGATGCAATACAGATCAAGAACGGGCCAATCAGAATCCAGGTTACAGCGCAAAGGCTGTTATTTCACGAAGAGAGGAACTACTCAACCAACAGCGCACTGAAGATGTCTCCTCGAATGGTGACGAAACGTTTGCAAATCAATTGCCAAGCTCGGCGAACAGATCAACAGCCACCTGATCAATTACCAACCAATACACCCGAGCTACCAATATTCCAAAACATTACCAACTTGTAAATCTGGTCGTGAAAATAATTATCTTGACATACCGATTCAGCACAATTATTAGTAATGGACTGATCCTGTCAGCGAAAACGCACACGCTGGCTTTTAGAGGCATCAAGCAATTCAGCTCTAAAGCTCAGCCGTTTTTCAGCACTTGAGGATTTCTCTCTCAAGAAAGACCAACCCACACCTAATGAAAAATGATGTGTGTACACTTAAGGGGAGTATGAGTGCGGGATCAGATTTTTCTAAAGCTAGCTTTCAACCTGTAAACAATTTGGTCCGTCCGTTAGTAGTTGGATTATTTGTCTATCACATAGAATTAACGACTGCAGTGTGGGGATCGCAGTTCATTCATTAAAGCAGTTCAAAATTGGGCCACATAACCCTCAACAGCAAAGTCACTTTCTTCGTAAAAGTCCCGTGGTTCTTTATTGCACGATGGGTGATTGTCCTTATTAAGAGAGTAACCTTGGGCCGTCGCTGTAGGTTTTCGATTTTGAGAGAGATAACTAAACATTAAAAAATCATCACTTTCCTTGCTTCCGATAAACGCACAGCATTGGCATATGAGACTCATACACCCTCCCAGATATAGTTACCGAAATAAAAATGATCCCCTATTTTACGAAGTACACAGAAAACCTCGATTTGCATGAGTAAAGTTTGCAAACAGCCAATTAAAAATGGTCAGGGACTACGTAGGTATCTGCAAAAAACCCACTTAAGTTTTCTCGGTCGTGAATACTGCTTATTGGTTACTATGAGTCATCAAAGCGAAAGTGTTAGTTTCTGAGACATCAAAATCAAGTTGCAGGGAGAAGGCCTTTTGAAGCCCAGAGAAGAGAGAATTCCCTGCAAGGTCATCGGAGAATAACCTACCTTCTTGTATCACCATCAGCTTCCACAGAACAAACAAATCAAGCCACCTGAAATAAAGATAGTTGAACGTTAAATTTGATCACTTAAGGGTTGACCCATAGTGCAGCAAATACTTTGTATTTTAGTATCAAATATACACATAAATAACACGCTTTCAGACCCCTCAGAAGATAAGGAATAAGCTCCTCTGACCAAAAAGCAAGTGGTTGACGAACGCTGGTGAAAATAGATCCTATCTCTTCATAGCGTGGACTGAAGAAAGCAAAATTCCATGGTGCTAACTTTGCTTGCTATTGTTTTAGTTGAGAGAAATACCCATCTGTTAATATTCAGAGTACTATTTCTGTGGGAAATGAGCTTGTTTGATCACGGCAGTCAGATTTCACATCAGGATATCTTTTGCTGTCAGGTCTCTTTCTGCATAGAAAAGACAGCTAAAGATACCGTGACGCTGTGAGACCCATTAACGAATTCGTGTTCAGTGTGCTCTGGTGTTGGTCCGGCACATGAATAGTCCAAGTGTAAGTTTTACGAAAGACGCACAGAATGTGCTAAACAAGGGATATACACAATAAAGACAATTTGCTAACAAAAGGACTGTTGGTAACTCAGGCAATAGTGATAACCATCGGCTTTTTTCAACCACAATATATGCAACCGAGCTGCTCGGAATAGCGAACAAACCAAAAGACAAATATATTTCGCCAATGTAAATTGAAGAAATGTGAGTTACTTGGAATTGATACACTTTTGAGCAATGATATCATTTGGCTGCTTAACCTAACTGGATTTTGCATATTCTGAAATTTGTCTGTTTGGACAAGATTGCCCACCTTATAAGCAAACAGAACAACTTTCGTGAATTGTTTTGCAAGGAAACAAAGGCATTAGCCTTCCAAGCAAGATAGGGGCGAAGAAAATAGGAATTGTTCACACAGTATGTTTGGGAACCTATTTTGCTTCAAGCTGCTACCTCAGGTACTGTAAATCTAACACCCAAACAATTGTCGAAAATCTGTTATACCATCAAAAAATTGCTTCGCATTATTGCAATAGGCTGTTGATGAGCCGATAATGAAGGTGGTCTTTTCAACCCCCAGGATGTTTAACTTGCTAGTCGACTTTTGGCCAGTTCTATATTAATATGTGCGCAAGTAGTGTTCATAGGCATCTAATGTTATCGAACTAGTTATAAGCGTTGTACCCGCCTGATGAAATTTTCTACGGCTCGTGCATTCTACTCTAATTAAAGAAACCGGCAATCAACTTGGTCTAAAGTAGGAACGTTGAAGAAACTGACTTGTAAAGCCTTGAAATGCAGCACACACGAATACTCATTCAAAGCTGTCACATCATTTAGATTTCGGCATTTATCTCTGCGTGATAAAAGATTCTAAGACAAACGGTATACCTTTGGCTAATTAACCCAGGAAACTTTACCCCTGAGGAGCATGCGCAATGTTGTTACTTATTTTTTACACCTTAGTGACGATTCTTTGAACTTATCATGGGTCCACTAAAAGCATTTACGTAAAACATGCACACAATGGAAATAGCAAACAAGATGGAGTTTCGAGTGAAACCAACCGCTTCACAGAAAACCGGAATATTATGTTCTTGAATATTAAAATACGTTTCTGTGGCATAATTTGTCATTCCTCTTGTTTCTTGTCAGTAATATGTTGGTCATTTTCGGTCCTAATTGATTCGAACCATGCTATCTTATTGAAGGACAGTTTCAGATGTGAAACTTGAATGATCAGATCAATAAATGTTGTACCGAATGAACTATTATGTTGTGTGCTGAGCTACCCGTAAACACTTTTTTATATTTAAAATCAGCTGTGCATCTGGATTAATGAGGACAAATAAAAGAGATTATCTATCCGGTGTCACAAACTACAAATCCACCGACTGTTTCTCACCGAGAATGGATTGATGATACCTTCAGTTTATTCAAATCCCCACACAATGGTGTTTTGGACATTAGCCACCAAAAAACCCTGATTTCCTCTAAGGTCAAACCTGGAGCGATGCAAGACATCTTAATCTTGGATATTGTGTTTCCCTAGAGAGATACATATCGTCGTTTCTCACCGAAGTTTTGCTCTGTACCGTATGAAACCGTTCGTTGAAAAACTTGCAGTTCTCACTTCATCCACACATATGCTTGATAACAAGAAAATTTCTTAGTCCTTCCTAAATTCTCTCAGTAAAATCATTTTATAGTTAAGATTTCGTCCTACAAATGAAGCCCATGTATAATGAAAGACTGAGAAGCGAAAGAAAATAGATGGAAATCGCCATCAGCGAGTTTCCCATTAAACTCCAAATAGTATCGAACAGAAGACCTCCCGGATAGCTGTGGGACTACCTAACTCTCTGGCTACGAGTATCAAATCAGAATTGTGATTAACTCAAGTTCATACAGCATGCAGCAATACTGATCCTCCAATCGCTTGGTCACGTATTGACTAGCTCCGACTTGATGACTCCTCAAATGAAATTTTCAATTACTGTTTAGAATCAGTCTCCCTGAAGGCATTCATAGATTGTTTTTGTTGCTTCCAATAGAAATGAATGAACCATCTGTAAGTACTACTCGACTTCTAATCGATCCATATACAGGAGAGAATTTCTATAGAAAAGTCCTAATACAACAAATAAACCATTTTTTAGCAAAAACAAGGTAGTCTTAATTGCACAGATTTTTAGGCCGAATTCTATTTTCAGTTTGTTGCACTTTTTATGGCTGGCCTCAAGCGGAGTGTATATGTAGTTGGATCTTGACATCATGTGTTGCGGTGGTACCGCTGAGTGCACCGTGCGCCGATGCAGTGTTTTCTTTAACGAGGAATCTGATTTCATCGTAGGATTCGACTGCAGATTTTATTTAGTTGTTTGACATATTGAGCGAAAAATTCATATTTCGGTTCAGACTATTCAACTGCTTCTATACTAAGCCAAAGTTTAGAATAACTCGCGGTATTCGCATGGTCTGCTGCTGACCGGTTTTTGGTGGCTGGGATGCGTTATCCTGGAGTTTTAGCGATAACTGGGCTTGTTGCAGAGGGTCGCTGGAACAGCTTCAACCTGTCAGCCATTCCTAGCAGAGTAACTAGATTCAAATCTGTAAGCATTTCAGAATATACGTGACTAATGAGTTCTCACAAACTAAAAATAAGTAACTGTCTCTCTTCCCCACAGGATTGTCACCTCAAGAGGAGAGCCTTGTTTGAGACTAGCTTGCATAACTTACAGAAGATCAAAAGAGAGCTGGCACACATAAACATTTATGATCGATGTGTTCACGTTTGGAGGATAATCCTCAATAAACCACGTGGCTGTATAACAACTGAACATGCTGTTAGGTCTTAAATGTAAATTTTCTCCTTTAAAGCAAACGAACCGTCAAAAGAAAGTGGAACCATACAGATCCACTCTGTCACTAAAAATTGTCTGCATTTTAGTAATTGTCCCAAAAACGATCTTTGGTTTTGGTTGTTGCTCCGTACTAGACTACATATTGAAATGTACAAAAAAGTTTCCTTATCCCATTGCGAAAGAAACTTCTGAAACTGAGACCGTGTAGAGGATTATTGCATTTGATGAAAATGTGGATGCTAGTGTGATACACAAGAGCAAACTCACGTCAAAGAAGCAAGCTAAAGAAAGAGACAGTTTCGACCAGTCTCGGCTCCGAACTTTTATTTTCCTTGGCACTAGAAGACAACGTCACGAACACTCAGGAAATATTACATCCTGATTAATTATTTTTTGATAGTCTGGTCCCTGGCACAAACGTTGTCTGGGTGCCCGACTTCCAACAAAGAAGTTCTGCATGACTTGCCGAAATTTCGCTTCCTAAAAACCGGTTACTTATTTCAAGTAGGTAGTCAAAAAATATTGAGGTTAAGCTGCGTGACCAAAGAATATCTGCTCAACAACCT